GATATGAAAAACTTGAATTTCACTCTTATTAATTTATAGTGACATAAATTATCATAAGATCGTATTTTATTAATACATAAAATATAGTATCATAATTAAACATGAGACAACTTACACTTGTTTAAGAAAAGTAACTCTTACACTCAATTTTAACTGTTGATTTCTGTCAATCAAACGGTTATAATTGATTGGTTATTTTTATTAATTAATTATTAATACCCAATAAATTACAACTGTCAGATTTACGAAAATCAACGGTTAAGATTGAGTGTAAGAGTTACTATACTTACACCGATATAAAGACTATTTTATTAATACAATAAGTCTTTTGTAGAAATAAGTTACATATTAATTATACTAAATCATGTGATAATATTTTAATCTAATGATTAAAGAGAAAAATAAAATGTGGTATAAACAATGTAACCATTGGATGTGCATAGCTACCAAAAGACTTAACCTCAATAAGTAATTCCTGATAAAGATAATTTCAGTCATTTATTAAGTTACAATGTACAATGCCTTAAAAGCCTACGAATAGTGGTTGATACAAAGATTGACACACACCACAATACAATAAGAATTTATTGCTTAACCTTTGTCTCTTATCTTTGTTTTTCTTCTAATTATTCTTTTACTCTAGGTACTTACTTTCTTCTAGTTATCTTCTTCTAGCTACTTTCTTCTAGTTACCTATTGTTTCATAACAAATTATTCGCAGTCAGCATGACGCTCTGCCCAAAGAAAATCACAATGATTAATTCAAAGATTATGAGTGATCTTATGTCCTAAATCATTAGATAAAGGTCAGTATTAATCTTATTCAATTCATTACATTTATTTTGGTTCATTTCATATTTTGCAATTAATGTGCTACTATTTTCTTTGGGGTAGTTTCTTATGTGAATTTTAAATCTGTTATCTCTCTCTATTTTCATTATCCTTTGGGGTATTTTGTATTGAGTATTATCGTTGTTTTAAATTACTTTCCAAATACTAGCAATGTCAACGATATTTAGAAATCCATAAGTAATCTTACATATACTGTATTATTTTCCTTTTGTTGCATATAAAAATCAACATATTATTAGATATTGAACTAATTTGGAAACTTCAACAATTTTAAGCTGATTTATAACTCTTAGCTATGTAAGAAAATCTTTCAATAAGTTCCCCAAAATTTACCCATTCACTATTTAACTTGAAATCACCAAAAAAAGATGCTTTTATCCCAGAATTTTGGTAGCAGAAATTGCATAATTAACAATTTAAAAAAATAAAGAAACTTAAATATAAGGGGTAGATACTTTGATACTAGTGTCAAATTAAAAGTTTGACACCAAATCTTAATTATAGATTTTCGTAAATCTAACCGTTATAATTTATTGGGTCATACTTATTAATTAATTATTAATTCCCAATAAATTATAACCGTTAGATTTACGAAAATCAACGGTTATGATTCATAACCGTTGATTTTCGTAAATCTAATGGTTATAATTTATTAAGTCATACTTATTAATTAATTATTAATTTTCAATAAATTATAATCATTAGATTGACGAAAATCAACGGTTAAGATTTGGTGTCAAACTCCTTAGTTTGCAGCAAATATTAACGGTTGATTTTCATAAATCTAACTGTTATAATTTATTGGGTCATATTTATTAATTTTCAATAAATTATAACCGTTAAATTGACGGAAATTAACGGTTAAGATTTGATGTCAAACTTTTTAGTTTGATACTAGATCTTAACAGTTGATTTTTGTGAATCTAAAGGTGACGATATATTGGGTCATACTAATTATTTAAATATTAATTCGCAATACATTATAACTGTTAGATTGACAGAAATCAACATTTATGAATTGATGTCAACATTTTTAATTTAACACCGGTATCCAAGGTTGTTAAAATCGAGATCTTACTTAAGATCGGAAGGAAGTAAAAAAATTTATAAATCGCAGTATCGGTACTGATCGTAAGATCGATCCTATTAAATCTATTATTATTAAAAATATATTCAAAATAATATATATATATATATATAAATTTTATGTATATATATTATAACAGAAAATTATTGATCGGAACCAGTTTTACAATTGGGCTGATCATGTGATCTTTATCTACACAAATGGCCTGGTACCGTCTTGAGTCAGAGCATCTTGAAGTTGGAGCAGCTTTAACCCATGGGTCTTTAATTGAACAAGATGAGGGTGTACCTGCAAGACACTCTAACGCTCAAGTCAGATTTGGTTCAAACAGGTTTTTATTATGTAGAAGAAGATGTGTACCTTGGGTTAACATATATGTATTTATAGTAGAGAGATGAGCCTCTTGGGAGATGATCAGCTTGCAAGCGGTGAGGCGGCAAGTCTTCTAATTGATTAGTGTAGATGACTGTGATAAACTTTGCGTTTTGCTTGTCTTGGTGCCAAAGTAACATGGTTGTAACATTTACTGTTGAGGAGCTTGCTGAGATAAGCTTGGGAGATAGAGAAGATGTAGCAGTCTTTATTGACCAAAGCTTTGCTTAATGGTGAAGACTTTGAATGTGAGCCTCTTTTATGTGGGCCTCATCTTAATATCCAGATCAATTATAAATCCCATGTTTTCATTATAATTTTTTTTCAATAATAACAAATTAAGATATATTTCTTTAACGTTATCTATTAGATTTTTTACAATGCCAAATATATTTGTATAATAAAAAAAATGCAATGTAAAGTTTTAAAACAATGATTTAATCTGTAATATTTTAGTTCAATAATATTTGCTCTCATCAACCTGTGAAATAAAAAATGGGGAAAACACTTCTCCTTTCACAGGAGAAGTGTATTCTTATGCCATAGATACAGAATTATTTTTATGTTTAGTTTTTTATTTTATTTTAAAAAAAATGATGAGTCCCATTATAGTTTGCTGTCTGCGGGAGAAGGGAAATCATTCCCGTCGCTGGAGAGCCTTAAAGCCCATGAAAAATTTAAAGAAATTGTCTCCAAAAGTATTTTTAATGAACCGCTGTTGCTAATGTTACATTATTTTATTATTATTATTGACTCGCTTCCAAGTCTTCGTGGTGTAGGCGTTTTGATGCCGTATAGCAGTTTACTCTAGGCCAATCTATTAATGACTAATGAGGATGAAAAAAATGATAGATATATGAAAGCTAAGTGGGAGAATATAATCTACCAAGAAATAAGTGTGTGGATGTAAAATATGGTTCACCAAATAGAGTCAAGATGTCAAAGCTAATTTGCTAGTCATCCACACATGCAAGTCAAGATTAGTGCGTTGTGTATGCAACACGATGAAAGCAAAAGTTTCCAACACCGGTTAAAAAAAATTAAAAAAATGAAAAAAGTGAAAATAAAGCAATTTAATATAAAAAAAAAAAAATCTTCTCAATCTGAAAAGTAAAAATCACGGTCTAATTTCAGAAATTACCCAAAATTTTTAATATAAATAAACATAGGTTATACTTATTATCATTTTAACTTTACTATTCTTATTATTTGATTGATTATTATTGTATTAATTTAAAATCAACGGTAGTTAATTTTTTTCATTTTTTAATGATTGATTTGAAATTGATCTAACGGTAATTAATCAGATAATTTTATCTCCTACACACATAAAAGTATGTTAGACCCCTGTTTTTTTTTTACTTTCTTTTCTTTTCACATAGCCCCACATACTTTTATTATATATGTGTGTAAAATAAAATTATCTCTTACATTAAAAGAAACATTAATTCCAAAATAATTATATAAAAATATGACATGAGACATTCAATTGTTTTTTTCTCTTACAGTAAGATGGTAAGTTGTAACCCAAAGTAGAAAATGGACTAACTGGGCATTTTGGAAAAGTTGTTATATTTAATTACCTAAAATTACATTAATTAATGGCTGAATTTTGGTAATCGTCATAGCAGCTGAAGATATATCAAACAACTAGCGTGTACACAGTGGTTGTCACTAGCAATGACGTACATGGTTGTTTAATGACATGGCAATAGAAGAATAGGTATTTTGAACATTTCACATGACAATAATATTCTCATATAATGAGAATAGAGCAAACCCACCACCTCCGCATGAAAAATGACTGTGAGAATTTTTGGAGAAACAATTCTTGATAATTAATTTTGGATTAGAATATTTTCTGAAATATTGTCCCGAACTTGAAAACCTGACAATTTCACGATAGATTCTTAACAATGAAAAAAGAAAGGAAAAAAAATCCACAATTTAAATGCCTTATGAATATTTTACAAGATGAAATCGTTATTACAAACAAAAATCTCACAAAATCTTTACAGAGAGTAAGAGTATAATGATAATGGGAAATTTTTTTCTCAACATACTATTTACATTTCGTGATGATATTTTTTTTATTTTTTTTTTGGATTTTGTTCTATCTATCATTTATGTTTCAAATGAGAAAACACCATCCCAATCGTTTCGACAAGAATAAGAGCTTTAAGCTTTGGAGGAGGTCTTGAAATTTCTTCAAAGCACATTTCTTGTATGATCTAATTAGCTAACCAATCTCCATAATCATTATCTTATATTTGAGTATACTTGAGTCTAAAGACCAACGTATCATCATCCATGTTATATTCGACGCTTGTTGTATTTGAAATAGAGTGCCGATTATCATGGTTTATTTAGCCAGATAATTATGGTTTGTTTTTCTCTAGCACAAAATATTTTCTGCTTTTTGAGCTTTTTTTCTTCATCCTAATATTCTTTTATTATTTATTTTGTGCTTTCAAAATTCAATCATTAAAAATTCTTTTAAGACTTAATATTAAAATATTCAATTTTATATTGACCACAATAACGACAAAACTAAGAATCAAATAAAAAAATGGCAGGGCCATGTGGTCCATCCAATTGATCATTCATGACAATGACAACCTATCATATCAAAAGATTATAAAAAATCAAAAATCACTCCTCGTAAACCCGATTAGTGAATGTAGAGTGAAGAAAATCGTTGTACACAGCCTTATCCTTGCATAATTGCAAAAAGACTATACTGATGTAAATTAGGAAGTATACAAAAAGTGTACAATCACTGTAGTGTGGCTAATACAGAATCTGAGAGTTGCACATGTATGGACAAATTGTACATCCGGGTTCTAATGCCACTTGTTTGATTCCCACAAGAAAAAGAAAAATAGTATCCTACTCAACTAATTCACTAGCAACTAGTATGTGCCGCAGCAAATGACAATCCTATTCTTGTAATCTGTAACAGGACACCCCCAACCATTTCGTCGGGGGAAATTATAAATAATACAAATTCTACCAGATTCTCTTCTCCTCCTCCTATACCTGAAGATCAAGAACAGCTTCCCCTGCAGTGAGAAAAGACCAAAAGCTTTGCTATAATCAACGTCCCACAAGATAGCAAAGAGCAACAACTTCTGCAGCAACTTACAGTTCAATTTTACTCCCCTACACCCAAAAATAATTATTAAAAAAAAAAAAAAAAACTCCCCCCCCCCCCCCCTCCCCCCTTTTGCAGAAAAGGAGAATGTCAGCCAGAGACGTACACCTCTGTTACAGTAAAACTCATTTCACGTTCTATTACTAAAAAAATGATTCCAATTAAATAAAAGGCTCATGCTATCACTAGCTGTAAAAAGTTGGGTTTTGTATGTGCAATGCATGTGGAATGAAAGTACTCGATCAGTAGGAGACAATAATAAAATCCAGAGTTTAATAAAAAAAATAGTAGATTATTTGGACTACGCCTATGAAGGAAGTTTGGATCTTTAGGATTTTGCTGATTGCACTATGGAGTACACATGAGCACCCATTCAATCAAGGCCAGAGAAAGGAGTTATTTGCTTTTCTTAATAGACATTTCTACATATCAGTAAGCTAGACATACATTTAAAACTTTTTTAATCGACTTACCATGCATTCTCTTGACAAATCGTTCAAATTCTATGAAGTTTTGTCGTTCCATAAGAAGTGGACTAAGCCTCAGGTAAGTAAAGGATGAAAAGTGCCTTCCATCTGGATCATTAATGGGCTTGGCATTATCCAAAACCTTGTTATAGCTAACTCTGTTTAGGCAAGTAAGTCCATTCTCACCAGCAACTGGAATGCCAACATCCCAACCCGCGTTCAGAACCTGCAATACACTCAGAATGTACACTTTAGAGTATACAGCTTTAACTGTAAAATAGTTCTTAGCATTCCACAAATTTGTCAATATTAGACCAACGAAGATCAATTATTCTAACATCATCTGCCAATGAAACTGCTTATATAGGAAAACAACCAGATAACAAGATATTAAAACTTTGGCACGGATTATATACTTACTTGCCACAATAATCCCTCAGGATCTGCAAATGTCTCTGGAAAGACCTCATGTTGGTTCAATGTTTGTAAGTCAGCACAAACAATGTTTAAGCTGACTCCATTTCTCTTTAACATTGCCATAATTGCAGCATAGCCATCACGATTGCATGGATTATAATACCCAGCAGTTAGTTCAGCAGCATGGCTGGCTGTCTTGTACCACCAGTAAAGACCTGAGAGCTGTTAAGAAATTACACAGACTGTATAAGGCCATAAACACACCCACAAAAACTAAAAATGATATACCTACAAATGGATAACTCCTAGACAAATCGGACAAGATCAATATAGTATTAATTTTATACAAAGGATTATTTTCTTCTCATTTTTTGGTGCTTGGTGCAGAAAATGCTATTGTTTTTTGGTGGTTGTGGATGAAAATGTATTACCTAGGTATATCAGTCTCTAAAAGATACTTCCTTGGTTAGTGGTAAGCAAATCATTTCGAAGAACTCAAGCCAAATTCAAATCTTTACATTAAGGGAAAACAATTTTCAAGAACAAATCACACATTAGATAATTTCAGGAGTGTTGTTTTTTGTGAATGTAATATTTTCTGAAGATAGTTTGAGCTGAAAATGAGTTCTCGGAAATTATTTTCTAAAATCATGGTATTTTCTGCGCAACATATGATGCTTTAAAAAATTAAAATGAATACCATAACCACACATATAACACGAGGACTACATCAATTGCAATTCCTCATGTTGTAAGACCATTAAGGTTCTGAGGTAAAAAAGAAAGAATCAACGGAGCTTTTCTTTTTTTAATTTAGAGTACAGAATTTTCATCAAATTATCATTTTATTTTTCACTAACCTTTGCAGCAATGCAGGATCCTTCAAAAGCTAATTTTGCCAAAGAAAGTACCCGGTTTCCATGATCAACTAAAACCTGAGAGTACCAGCTAAGAAAAAACCTGCCATAGAAGCCATCATAATCTCCTCCATCACAAAAGAAACCTGTTTCTTGTGGCTTAGAATTATAGGTACCCACATTATCTGGCCCTCTGGCCCAAATAGCGTGCCCCCTTGCTTCTGCTGCTTTCCTAAGACTTTTCAACATATACTGATCATAGCACTGCCCACAAAGTGAGAAAGAGGATGAGCAATGTGGTGAAAATGAGATCTAAGCATATGCATAGGCAAAAGGATATCAGTAATAACAAGTGGAGAAGACAAGACAACCAGAATTATCCTAAAGGCTAAGGAAAATACTCTATCTAGTAGCAAACAATCAACGTTCACCATCTCTCAGCTTAACTTTCCGGTATTATTCAATGTCTAACACCAAAAAACTAGAAGTTGTCCTTATACATCAATAGAGGTTGAGTGAAGACCCCAGTGCTAAGATCAAATGTCAAAGAAAACATATTGCAAAAACAGAATTAAGGATGGCCAAAAGAAAAAAATAATTTTCTTTTGACCTATATAAATGTCCATGTGATAAGGAATATTTTAATTTATTATTTATCTTAAGGCTCAACAGAATGAGGATTTGCTTACTTAAAAGAATTTATCGAAATACAGATGCGTGAGCAAAGAAAGCATTTGCAATGAAAAACTGAATCCAAAAATTGACATACTTAAACAACTAAAACTATGATACATTTAAGAAAATAATTACCTGGAATTCACCAATACCAGGATATCTCCAGCCATGCTTTACAGGACAAGATGGGTATCTTAGCTCTCCACAAGGACCTAGTCCAATTTCAATCATGGAGATGAAGCCATCCTCGAAATACTCATCAAACTCTACCCGGAAACTTCTCATGAAATCAAAATAAACCTACAAAAATGTACAACATGAAAATTACATGCCTTAATTTTGTTGGCATAACATAAAATGGAAATTCTGCCCCTACCCTGTCCCTGAAAAACAACTGTATATAATTAAAATGGATTTGTTTGAAAGAAAGGTGATTGAAGACTAACACCATAGTATGTACATGTGATGGATTAAAACTTTCGATATGACTTAATAATCACTTCGAGCTTAGTTAAAGAATGACTCCATAGATATGTCTTTGTAATTAAGCATATACCAAAATATGATTTCTTACTAATTGCATTCAGTGATGATAATAATAATAATAATAATAATAATAATTGTTGCAGTTGTAATTACTATTATTGGCATTTTTATTATCATGTCATTATTACCTCCATAGCAGTCCGACCTCTTAAAACCCGTTCCTTATCTATTCCCCAAGAAAGACATTCAGGGTTGTGCCTTCCCTCTCTATCAGTAAAAAAAATGTCAGGATTGCTCCTGCCAATTTCTGCAACCCAATGAGGTAATGGAATACAAACATCATCACCAAAATTGCCTCCACATTCATGAAAAGACATCACAACCTGGCCAAGTGTCAACAGGACAATTCACTACCTAAGCCAGATTGAATTAGCAAGAGAGCAACTCACAATAAATAAAGTAACTTATGAAACTCACCTGCAGCTTAAGCTTAAGTTCATGCACCATTTGAAAGAGTCTCTTGTAACCATTCCAATTATACTCTTGTGGAGCATGTGCCTCCACTATTCCCCACCAACAGTCTACCATAACACCATCAACATTTACCGATTTCAACACCCTCAGCTGCTTTAGTAGAGCGTCCGGATCAACAAGATCACATTTAATATTGATCACCCCCAACTGTCAATAATATAGAAAGAACATGCCTATTGAGTGTTATATCGACATTTAAGATAATTCGTAAAAAAAAAAAAAAAAAACCTTTTAATAGTTATATTTAAATTTTCCAAAACAATATACTTAGAATACCAGCATATTAAGTGGAACTACTCACTACAAGCATATTAACAAGGAACATAACTTTAATAAAATAATGAAAAATAAGGGTAAAATAATAGCTTACAGGGAGCATAACGTAAACTGGAACATATGGGGTACCAGCCAAATCACGCTCTGCTAATCTGGGGATTGTGTCAACAATCTGCAAAGGAAAAGGAATAAAAACAATGCCAAAATATTTACCTGCTAAAGGCACCATATTGAAACTATATGCAAAATAAAAAGGAAGAATATGCCCTTTAGAATAATCATCATCTTCCATCTCATTTCAAGTTTTTTATAACTAAAAAAAAAAAGTCAAAGAAATTACCAAAGAGGCCAAGAGGTATAATGACAGCACCGATAAAAATCACAAGCATGAAAGATGCTAGGTTTTCAATATGTAATTTATTAAATTATTTAGCATGCTTTGCTTCTAAACATGCAGAAATGATGAAACGGATAGTAATAGAGCAACCAAAAATCATGTAACCACTAGTTCTTGCTATCAGCCTATCACCCCAGCAACTGAAAGAAACTTACTTCCAAAAGAAATCAATATGTTGGCCAGTGGCCACAAAACTACCAAATGGATTGATTGTATACCTGTTTATCATCAACATTATCCATTGAACCAACAACGAGAGGATGATTGTCTCTTTGTGCTTCTCCATCCCCCAACATGGATGTTTGAGACCGGGAACTCGAGGATAGATCATAAGGAGATGGAGCTGGCATAAAAACACCCTTCATCTGACATGCAGTATACTCTAATGTGCTCCTATAGCCAGAAGCAACTCCCCTGACAGAAGCAGATGGAGTCTGTTGTGAAGGTGCATGGGAAGAAGACGAAGTGACAACTGTAGAATTACCACCAGCTGGCATTTGACCCTGTAAGGTTGAGAAGAAAAGTTTCCAATGTGGGAGTTTTTCTGAGATTTGTCAGAACTGAAATTTGCAGATACACAACAGTAATAAGATATTTAAAATATCAAATAGTTTTAACTTGACTAAGCCAAGAACTCAACTATATAACGAGTATCAAGAGTAAATGCCTACACGCTACAGCTAAAATTATATAATATATACTTTTTCAACAATAAAGCCCTCCAAAACAAATGTTGACAAGGGCTTTTTGAAGTATAAGCAACAAGGGGAAAAATGATCAGGCCATAATCCCCCCACTCATGGGGAAATCATACATGATACCCACAGTGCACTCCAAAAGTCACAAAAAAAAATCCAACAAAAGATTATTTTCAGAATCAGAAAAATGTATATTACATCTCGACAATACCTGAGATCTAGAGGGAAAAGTAGTGCCATCTGGAAGAACCACCCATCCTGCTTCCCTTGCAAGAGCAGCAATGACATCGTTTATGTCAGCTCTAACTCTAAGATTGTAGTTGCCATGCCTGCGAAGTCCTGCCAAGATCCTTGCAGTGATAGCCCTCCGACGCCTCTCTCTTAGCTTTGTTCTCTCTTTCTCTTCAATTGGCCTTGATCTTCGAGTACCTCCCCCTGGGGTGCCAACTTGCTCTTGAAACTGCTGATGCTGTTCAAACCTGTTGTCACCAGTGACAGTCCCTATCACATTCCCACCATCAATCTCTACCATCCTTATCGCATTTCCATGATCACCTCCATTTTCCTCATAATCATCATCATCATCATCCTCATCTTTAACATCCATTCCCATTTCTTCTTCATCATCCTCACTCGTTCCAACAAGCCTCCGCATATCAGTTGCCATATTCACAAGTCTGAGCCCTCACTAGTTCAATTCAATTAAAAACTATCCTACTGATTCTGTTGATTGCCAATGCCATCAAAATTTGTGAATGGCCACCATTTCAAACCAAACAAGCCATGTCATCAGGAATTCCACAGGCTGCACAAAAACACAAGCAGCAGTTAACACAACAATATCATGTGACAATTCTCTCTTCCCTTAAATCAATTTCAGCCTTTATAAGCCATAATTAAACTAAAAAAGCCTTAAAACTGAACAGTTTTGTAATCAAAAGCACATAGCCACATTGAATTCACCACAACAATTTCCTCGTCATCTGAATCATTTTAAGCCTTCAACTAATAATTAAGAAAAAGAGAGAGAAAAAACTTAAAACTAGAATCATTTTGTAACCAAAAGCACGTAGCTACACTCAATTCACTACACAGCACATATTTTCTCATCCAAAACTTTAGCAAAGAGAAAAAAACCCAAAAAATCGCGTTAATTCATGGATTTTCAGCACCAGGTTACCTTCCGGACTGTAATCATGGTTCGATTAACTAATTCTCCGGCAGATCCGTGTTCTTCTCGCCGGATTCTCCAGAATTCCGTCTGGTACCAAACTTTCCGGCAACCGGCGCGGAGGTCCGGTGTTGATTGACGGTGAAGGGAGGAATCCAGAAAGATCGAGATCAGGAAAGGAAACGACGGAACCGGCGAGTTTCCGGCGGCGGGTAAGGGGTGAGGTCCGGCCGGCGAGGGATAAGCAAGCGTGCGAGCGAGTGAGGCATGCGAGGTGCGTCTCTCAAGGTAGGGTTCTCGCTCGTGTCGTTTGTGCGGCGACGAGCGTGTTAGAGAATTTGGCACGAACGAGGCGTGCGTGTTAACTTTTAAGGAGAGAGAAGAGAGAGAGAGAACACGCGTGGGGTGTGCGGGGTAACACGTGCAATGCACGCTTTTAGTCTTTGATTCAAGTATCAGGTAGGAAGTGTTTTTTCCCCCTCTTTTTCCAATGGAGATATCCTCGCTCATGCAAGGTGACCAATTGTTTTCTACTCTGTAGTACCTTTCAATCTTCTTATTTGAAGGAGTAGAATGTTGATTTAAGAGAGAATTTTTTTTCTCCATATATAATGGTGGTATTAAGATTGGATATAACTTCATATAAACTATCTAAACTCTACACAACTTAATCAATTCTAATAGCTTCATGAAGAATTTTATAATAAATTAGAACAGAAATAAAGACAAGATGATAGATTGCTAAAATAACAATTAATTGTGTTTCGGGTTCATACATCCGACTAGCTATGCGTGTGGACATCCATCACGAGAACTCGGAAGTATCTTTGCCCGGACAAGCAGTTAAGAAGCATGCGCAGCATAACCCAATGTGGGCCCTCCCACGTTTCCATGATAACAAAGATAGCAACCCACGATTGGAATAACTACCTAAGGCAAGAGATATAAATATCAAAGATAGGTGCCTAACAGAGGGGGATTAGAACCATACGATAACCATACTAATGTTCATACAGAACATTTGACGCCGTCTGTGGGAATAGGTAAAAAGATTCCTACGCCTTTTCTTGAGTCATGGCAAGCAACTACCATGATGACGGAGCGGAAGACAACGGATGATACCTAGGAGAGGAAGATTCTTTTCGATCCAGTGGAAGGAGTCGATCTCTGGACACTATTGGCGAAGCTTTAATTCAGTTAGTTGAGGATATCAGGAATCGACAACATCTTGAAAGAGGGCAAAAGAGAAGGGGAGTAGAGGAAAGGCATCCTGTAGAGAATGAGCCACAATCACCCAATAGAGGAGGAGATTTTTTGTCTCCTCTTCGTAGTTATATTCCTTTATCACCTCCAACGGTGAGGAGAAATAGAGGAAACGAAGGAAGGAGAGGACACCCTTGTCAAGAGTCAAGAAGTTCTCCAGAAAGGGGAGGCTATCAAGGCGGAGGACGAGGAACGAATTCGCGGGTAGGAGAAAGGATACCTGAGGAATATGGCCGGAGAACTGGCCGAGTTAGGCAATATCAGAATGGAGAAGATGAACAGGTGGAAGGAGAAGTGATATGGGAGGAAGAACAGTATTTGGGAGCCCGTCAAGATTATACTCGACGGGATGAACGAGAAGTAAACAGAGGTCGATATGAAGAACCTTATCAAAGGTGGAGGCCGGAAGGAGGAAGAAGTTATGGCAATCATAGAGGTGAGGTTCCACGAGATGATACCGAGTATCATTACTGGGGTAGAGATCAAAGTCAAGGAGATGGAAGGAGACAAGTGAATCATAATCCTAGGATTGGGATTATCAGCATTACGGACCAGGACAGATTGAAGGCTTGGGTCCTCATTATGGTAATAGACAAATGACCAACAGGGAACAGGATGCACCCGTTTGGAATGGACAATTCAGAGGAGCCCAATAGAAGATCCCAGCACCCCCCATTAATCAGGGGCCGTTAGGAACTCCTTTGTCAGGGAGGCTTAGAGCCGAACCAATCCTGGTTTGGTTTAAGCAACCAAGTGACATGAAAGCGTACGATGGAAGTTCAGACCCAAAGGAGTTCGTGACAGTGTTCCGGGCAGCAATGTCCTTATGTGGCGAATCAGATTCGTTGTTGTGTCGAACATTTCCTGTGTTTTTGAGAAAACAGGCTTTGGAGTGGTTTACAACCTTGCCAGATAATTCCATCGAAAGTTGGGTGGACTTATCACATCGGTTCGTGCAACAGTTTGCTCATTGCGGACCCCAGCCTAAAACAACGCATAACTTGTGCGGAGTAAGAAAAAAGCCCGGGGAAAAGTTGCGGGATTATTATGAACATTTTCAGGTAGAAGCAAGACAAGTTAAGGGCTTAGAAAATCAAACGTACCTGTTGTTGTTTACTACTGGATTACAATCCGGAGGAATTGCCAACTCGTTAGCCAAAAAGTCTCCGGTTACAAAGGAAGATTTGCTAGAAAGAATCAGAAAGTATATTGATTTAGAAGAATTTACATCTTCTCAAAAGCAAATTGAGCAAGGTTTTCGGGAGGCAAGTCAAAGTCGGGGGCCGGAGAGGCCAGCAGGAAGAGGGCAGTTTGAAGAGCGACGACCTCGTCTAGTCGGAGAAAGATTCAGAGAGCCATATCGGAGGGAGTTCACACCTTTGAACACGCCTAGAGCCCAGATACTTAAAGAAGTGATGTCGGCAGAAATGAGAAATGTCCCAAGGCCGCCGCCCCTTCAGTCAAAGTTTCCAAACAAAACCAAATGGTGTGAATTCCATCGAGGGTACGGGCATTATACAAACGACTGTTTTAATTTACAGAATGTCATTGAGCGGTTGATCAAGGAAGGAAAGTTACAAAAGTATGTGAGAAGAGATGTAGATGTTGGCAATGAGGATAAATCTCGACGACCATACCATCGTAGGAGTCCACCAGGAGGAAGAGGACAAGAGGCAGGAAAGATTCCACAACAAAAGCAAACATCTCCCAATCCGGTCCAGTTAGGTCACGTATGCACTATAGCCGGAGGTCGAGCAGGAGGAGGAGAATCGAGTAATGCTCGGAAGAAGCATTTAAAGATGTGCATGGCCATTTCAGATAAGCCGCGTTTCAAAGAAGAAAGAAGGAAGACGGGCAAACAAATAGTTTTTGATGACCTAGATGATGAGATAATTGATCCAGAGCATGATGATCCTTTAGTCATTTCTGGGTTGCTAGCAAATTATCGTGTTGATAGAATGCTGGTAGACCCAGGGAGTTCGGTGGACATTATATTCTTGGATGCGTTTAGAAGAATGGATTTGGATTATGACCAGTTGGAGCCATGTGGAGCCGAGTTATTAGATTTCACGGGAGATAAAATTAAGCCATTGAGATATATCTCATTGAGGATGACTTTAGGCAAGGCACCCGCGCACAAAACTGTCACCTTGATATTTGCAGTAGTAGATTTGAGCTCGACATATAATGTTATCTTGGGGCGGCCATTTATGAAGAAGTTTAAGATCTTTTTTTCGATTGATCAGTTGGCTATGAAATTTGTGGCCAAAGATGGGTCAGTAGCTACGGTGAAGGCGGACCAAGTTGTTGCTCGGAGTTGTTATAATATGAGTCTACGAGTTCTGCAAGCAAGTAAGGAGAAAAACATTAGGGAGCCAGCACAACAAGTTAACGAAGGAAAGGTACAAAGAAAAGAAGAAGAGAGGAAAAAAGAACAAGTAATGGTAGTTGGGATGGATCCTAGGGAGGAAGACAAGGTAGATAGGCCGGAACCCGCTGGTGCTATGGTATAAGTTCAATTAGGGAGAGCTCCACAACAATGCACTAAGATGGGGTCCGAGTTGGAGCTCAAGGTGGCAGAAAATTTGAAGGAGTTGTTAAAAAAGAATGCTGATTTGTTTGCATGGAAACCTTCAGATATGCCCGGGATGGATCCAGCATTGTCTTGCCATTGCTTGGCAATGATTCCAAGAGTAAAGCCGATAGCTCAGAAGAAACAGAGATTTTGTTTAGAAAGGAGGAGGGCCATCGAAGAAAAGACACAAGAGCTTTTAGAAGCGGGGTTTATTAGAGAAATAGAATATGCTATGTGGTTAGCCAACCCGGTGTTGATAAGGAAGCCGGATGAGAAGTGGAGAATGTGCACAGATTATACAGATTTGAATAAATTTTGGCCCAAAGACCCATTTCCATTACCAAGTATTGACCATTTAGTTGACAGTGCCTCCGGGTACAAGGTGTTGTCATTTATGGATGCATATTCCGGGTATAATCAGATACCGTTATGGAAGGAAGATCAAGAAAAAACAGTGTTCATAACTGAGAATGCAGTGTACTGTTACAATGTCATGCCGTTTGGATTGAAGAACGCCGAGGCAACGTATATGAGGATGATGAATAAGGTGATTAAGGCACAAATGGGTAGAATGTTGGAAGTGTACATGGATGATATGATTGTGAAGTCGGAAGACGGCAGGACACATTTACAAGACTTACAAGAGGTGTTCAAGCAAGTCAGGAAGCATAATATGCGTTTAAACCCAAATAAGTGTGCTTTCGGAGTTCCAGCCAGAAAGTTTTTGGGTTTCTTGTTAACAGAAAGGGGCATTGAAGCTAACCCAGACAAGTGTAGAGCAGTTATGGAAATGAAAAGCCTGGAGAATATTACAGAGGTCCAGAAGTTGAATGGGCGAGCAACAGCTTTATCCAGATTTTTAGCCAAGTCCGCACAGGTGTCTTTGCCACTATTCCAACTTCTAAAGAAAGGAAATAATTTTGCATGGACAGAGGAATGTGAAGCAGCATTTCAGCGCTTCAAGGAGATGTTGGCCTCGCCGCCGATCTTATGTAAGCCGGAACAAGGTGAGGTGTTGTATTTATATTTATCTGTTTCACAGGAGGCAGTTAGTTCAGTTCTCGTCCGAGAAGGGAAAGATGGGAAACAGCAACCAGTATACTTCATAAGCAAGGTGTTACAAGGAGCAGAAACAAGATATCAACATGTGGAAAAGGTGGCGTTTACACTGTTGATTACAGCAAGGAAGCTTCGTCAGTATTTTCAGTGTCACCAAGTTGTTGTTCGGACTAATCAGCCAATAAGGCAAATGTTGCATAAGCCGGATCTCGCAGGTCGGATGGTCGCATGGGCGGTGGAGTTATCCGAGTTTGGCATTCAGTTTGAAGCGCGCAATGCGATCAAAGCACAAGTTTTAGCCGATTTTGTGGTAGAGATGACTCAACTCAGAGGGAAGCAAGAGAATGGTTGGTGGAAGTTATTTGTAGACGGATCATCCAACAAAAGAGGCAGTGGGGTAGGGGTGATAATAGAGAACCCAGAAGGAGTGGCCATAGAACATTCGCTGGCATTGGAATTTCCCACGAGTAAAAATCAGGCAGAGTACAAAGCAATGATTGCCGGGCTGATCTTGGCAAAAGAGCTCGGAGCTGAACAACTAGAGGTGTTTAGTGATTCTCAATTAGAAACTTCGCAAATTAGCGGAGTATATCAAGCTCGGGGAGAGGTTATGATTAAATATTTGGCAAAGGTACAAAGCTTGATGAAAGAATTTAAGGAGATCCGAGTGGAGCATATTCGGAGAAATGACAATGTCAGAGCAGATATGTGCACTAAAGCTTCTGGAAATTTGATGTGGTGTGGATGATCGAAGAAGCAGACTGGAGAAGCCCAATAGATTATTTGGAAAGAGGAAAGGTCAGTCGGCTGTTGGTTCGTCATCGAAGAAGGATTAATTCTCCTTTGTTGAAATGCATAGCTCCACCGAACACGGAATACGTGTTAGAAGAGATACACGAGGGGATCAATGGACATCACCTAGGAGGGAAGTCGTTAGCCAGGAAAGCTATACGAGCGGGATATTTTTGGCCAACAATGGGAGAAGATGCTAAAAGACATGTACGCAGATGTGAACAGTGTCAGAAGTTTTCTAATGTATATCAAGCTCCTCTAGAGGAGTTGTTCACGATTTCATCTCCATGGCCATTTTTCAAATGGGGTATGGACCTTTTAGGTCTGTTTCCAAAGCAGCCGGAGGAGTGAAATACTTGATAGTAGCAGCAGATTACTTCACCAAGTGGGATAGAGGCTGAACCCGTCGCCACTATTACTGCTCGGAAAGTCCAGAAGTTTTTCATTGGGAAAATAGTCTTTAGGTTTGGTATTCCGGCGGTAATCATAACAGATAA